TGTACATAAATATTTTTGCTGTTTTAGATTATACAAATATTTTTTGAATTTTTAAAATATTTTATTTTTTAAAACTCAAATTTATAAAATTATTATCAAGCTAACATAAATTATTTAAATTTATTTTAAAAAACAAGATGTATTCAAGACTGATTATGCAAATTAAATATTTTAGATTTTATAATTTAAAGATGAAATTATCTTGATTTTAAAAATTAATAATAAAAATTAATTTTTATTTTATTTACAACTTCTATTATATTTATATCTTCAGTTTTTTTGTTTTTTTTGCAAGATTAAAATCTCTAAGAAAAACATATTATAATCATTAGGATTATTAAAAATAATATATAATATTAAATAAACAGCTTGAAAAAAAATTCGCATTAAATCTAAAAATAATAACATACACATGCCAAATAAACATCCAAGGTTGTTTTGCAATCCACATTGATTTTAGTTAGATTAAATTATCTTCTATGACATAAAGATTTTTTTTTTTAAAATCTATTTTTTTAAGGATGTCTTTTTAAAAATAGTTCTGTAGAATTATAATTATTGAAATCTTTCTTAACAAAAGAAATTCTAGAATAAATTTTAATATCAAAATATATAAGGCAAAACATTTGGCTCTTCTCTTTAGTAGTATGATTTGTTATGTTATATTAGAAGTTGATTTTATAAGAATAACAAGAGGTCTATTACTACATTAGATTATTTAATGATACATTATCTACTTCTTGATTGATTGACCCTCTACTTTCATTAAAATAAAATCTCTTCAAGTGATGTTAAAATGATTAAATAAGATGGTTCTATAGTATCTATAGAACATATGTTTTCAAAAACATTCAATAACATTATATTTAATATCATCTTTCACATAAATAAAAATGGGTCATTTGATTTAGTAGATTAGTATGAATTGTTAAAATTAACATATGTACATTCTATTTATAATCCAAAACAATTTTATTATCTTTTACAACTGAGTTACAATTCTATTTTAGTTTTTATAATTTGACATTTAATATACAACTATAATTTTATACATAAATTTTTATACACTTCTTTTTAGACTATATGGGCCAATACTAGTTTAATAGTTAACTTGGTGTCTTTTAAAGGAATAATCTATAATTCATATAATCAACAATGCACAATAGAAAATTACATACAGATACACTATACATTATATAGGTCATTAATCAAAATTAATATTATTTATTTTATAATCAAAACATAATATTTTATTATGATTCACATTCCTACGCTCTATTAGAGATACTTCATGCACTAAACAAAGTTATTTTTTTACCAAAAATATCTTCAAAATTAAATAATAAATAATATATTTCTACATTGCTTTACAAATGTAATGATCTATTGTATATACTCCTTGATCAACATAGATACTAACTTCCCATCTTTGCCATTATTAGTCAAGAACTACGTTTTTAGTAATACACTTAAACATCTTCTCCTTATAAGTTCCTAAGTAAACTCTCATTCCCTAAATTATTTTTTTGTATACTTTTATTAAGATAGAGGCTTATAAAGTTCAAATCAAATCCAACTAAAAAGAGAGGATCTTCTTCCTCTTTAGCAAATTGCCATAGTCATGTTATAACAGGGCTATTAGATAAATACATATATATATATATATATATATATATATATATATTATAAAAGAACTTAATTAAAAATATTATAGTAAATTATTTTAACAATAAAGATAATGGTTAAAGAGATAGTAGAACTAATAAGTTTTAATGTTGCCTTTTTGTAAAAAAAAAAAAAAAAAAAAAAAAAAACTACTTATTTTTTAGAATCATAAATAAGATAAAATAAGATAAAAAAAAAATACTACAACCTTCTTTGAATGATAGAAATGAATAGATTTTTATCAAATTTTACTTAAAAATTTAGATGTTGATACTTGGAGATAATTAGTTTTGAGCCTAAATTGAAATCAAACCTTAAGGCATAAAATTGCAATCTCATAGCAAAATCATGATTTCATAATTTTTTATTAGGGTTATATTAATATTTTATTAGGATTTTATTAAGAAAGAAAATCGGTAGAAAAATAGGCAGCTCAAAAAGAATTGTAGATAAGAAGAAGATAAGGATAGAGAGCTAGGTGTTGCTTTTTATCAATCCTTACGTAGAAGATGTCACGTGCATTTGAACAACTTTACAACATGTCAACAACTAATATTTGCAACCACCACAATCAATGCAACACTTTAGCGGCACTATCCATGTAAGTAAGAATTCTTTATGCATTAATGAACAAATGAGAGTAGCATTGATAAAGTATAAAGAAAATAGAAGAATAAAATAAAAATAAAAATAAAATAGAAATAAACCATGATATTCTATATGCAACTTCAGAGAGTGGTATTATGGAATGCTATCTACCTAAAATAAGGGTAGTTTAAGAGATGCTAAGAATAAGGGAAGAAAACAAATTCAAAAAAATTCTAAGTAAATTCTAACCAATTCCTATAGCCATTTTAAAATCTCAAAGTATTAATAGAATCTTTAATCTTAACTAAAATTTTACCGACATTTTAATTCATAAGCAAATAACAAGCACACAAAAGTTTAGGAAAATCAAACTCACCAATTGAAACAAACAACTCTTCAAACTCTTGAATGTTGGTATCTTTCCTTCTTCAATCCAAATATTAAACTTTTAGCAATGATTTCTCCTTGCTAAACTATTCAATTGCTTTATAAATTGATTCATATGTAGATATCTAAGTTTAAATTGCTCTCATCAAATTTTATTTTAATCAAAGTAGTCTATTTTTCAAGATCACAAAAACCTTCATTGGTATTTAATTTCAAATATCCAAGACTCTAATCCAATATAACTCTAATATCTTATAATTTAATTGCTTGATCGATATAAAATTTATTGATCACATTTAAATCAAGCATGATAATAATTTCACTAAATTTTATTTATAAATTTAATACTTATATAATCTTCAAATTTATAAATTTCTTTTTATTTTTCAAAATTCAAAAATATTAAGTATAACTTGCACTTTGAAAAGTCCTTAAAATTTTAATATGCATTCAAATCTTTTAAAATCTATGTTCAAACAATCATTTTGAAGTCTTTTCTCTGAATGCACTCTTTGATCATCAAAAGAGCCCTAAAATTACGATAAGTGTGCAATTTTGTGCCTTGAGGTTTGATTTTGATCCAAGTTCATAATCATTCCTCTTTAGGTATCAATTCTTGATTTCTTAAGATAATTTTTGCAAAAAAATGTTCTTAATTCCTTTCTAAAGATTCCTATATTAATTATTTATTTCATCTATTTTAATTTTTCTTATTTATGGCTCTAAAAAATAAATAAAATTTTCTTTTATAAGAAGGTAACATTAGTACTTATTAATTTTTATTACCTCTTTTCTTATTATCTATATCTCCAAGATAATTTTCTAAAATAGTTTTATTTAAGCTCCTTTATAATATGATCTTTTCTTTCTTCTTTCACCTAATGAATGTGTTACAACAACATTGCTTCCTAATGCTACCTACCATCACATCTACATTGAATTCAAAGAAATGCAATGTAGATCTTATAGTAAATTTTTCTAAATTTTTAATGCTAACCTTGGAGGTATTTTGTAGCAAATATAAGATCAAAATCTTGAATAGAAAAGAAAGAAAGAAAGAAAGAAAGAGCATGAATTAAAGGAAGAGAATCAAAATACAAAAGATTAGTAGATATAATATAGAGGAGGCTTTAAAGAAAAACCCATAGGTTGTTGTGGCAAAAGAACCGGCCTGCAAGTCACTTTAGCAAGATACTTTGGCACAAGAACATATCCGTAAGGTACTTGAGTTAAAAACCTTGTACTTAGTTGAGCATGAAGTGATTGCTTGTGCAAAGGAGATACAATGTTAGGATTCATAAGATCAACAAGAGTCATTGCACTAAGCTTATCTAGCTTTGCAAGTTAAATCTCGCATGTTGCAATCGGCAAGAAGATTGTAAAGACCATCAAGGTGATTTGATTCTTTCATTTCTACATAGAGTGTGTAGAGATGTCTAAACAATGTTAATATTATAAGAAATATTCTAAAAAAATATTCTTAACATTGCAAGGAAATATTTGCAGCATGTCAATGTTGTAAAGAGGTCTTCTATCAAATCTAGTACTATATGAGTGTTGCTGGTTTAGGTTGGCATTAGAGATAAGAGAAGGAAGAAGAGAGAGAAGTCCACGGAATTTGGCATTGTGGAAGTGTTGTAGAACTTATTCAATGTTGCAAGAAGCTCTTGTATAGGGCTTGTTAGTTCATGAAAGTCCAACATAGAGTGCAATAGGGCCACATAATTTGAGGCTTGATCAATGCATATAGACACCAAAATTGGAGTTTATGAACAACTTTCATTTATTGTTTGGAAGCAGGTTTCAAAACTACATTAATTCTATACAATCTATAAGCACAAGGACTTGACCTGCAGTGTGTCGATCACAATGTTGAGCACCTTTGTTAATCTTTGATACCCCGCTTCTCACTTTCTTGGTTTGAAAATGTAATATGAGCTAGGTGGTAGATCGATTCAAGTTCACTCATAACCCATTGGACGTCACAGAAACAGGAGATGTTACATAATAGATGTTACTGTGCCATTCTATCACTTTCAAAGACATACACTGACTGTTTGAATTGGCAATCGGTTTCAGGACCTGGCACTTGAAGCTTTCTCATTCATCTTACCAATTGCTTTTCAATGTCCCTGAGAAAAATAGGAGACATGACATTTTGGGACAGTTTAAAACATAATACAACTTGAAGTTTGTGAGGTCTGTGACGACAGTGAAATTGTACCACTGGGTTTCTCCGAACTGCTGTCCGTGACTCTGACGGCTAGAAATGGGTGTGTTTTTGTGATAAGGATCTCCATCAGGGTTTGAATTTGCGTTTTCCACAGTTGGACATGCTTGTGGATCTGTGACATACGATGTGTTATCAAACTCTTTATTTAATTATTGTTCTTTCTTTTATGTCCTCTTCTTTTGAAAAAGTGTCAACAATGTGTCGTTCAAGGTGATTATCTGCAAGGATTTACACAATAGCCTACACGCACAGGTCATTGAGTATGTGCCACTAGTGCCACCAGAAGTGAAGCTTGAAGCATGTGCAGACACAATTCTCGGTTCACACAAAGGTGATCACTTCGAAGTAATTGAAAGAGAGCCCGTCTGCTTCTGCCTCCAACACGTATAAGTCTTGGAGCCTCCCTTCCATTCAGCTGCTCTACACGTGCTCCAAACATTTCTATGACGTCCCGTCCCTCTTTCCCATATTTGTCTTACTTCGGTTTTGACTCGAACTTTGATAATCCTGTCAGCAAGTAGCAGTATTTGCACTTCACGGTTGCTGGTACTACACCCAAGCAGCGATTGAATCACATCAAGCGACTGTGTAGACATAGTCAATTCTCGAAGTAAATTTCATCAATTGGATCTAGGGTAAGCCAGTTATTCATCCAACGAAATTGTTGGATGTTGAAAAGTACTACTCGTCTTGTCCTTGTTGAAGCTTTTTATGTGATTTTAAGATATGTGGTACCATCAAGCAAGACCCGAAGAAACAGATGACGGTGATGGATATGCTTTATAAGAAGCTGATGACTTTCAAGTAAGAATTGCGCAATTATGAACTTACTGGTGTTCTGTGGATGGCAGGTGACGGCTATACAAATGACAACACCAGTCACCTCACTGAAACTGGGGAGAAAAATTGACAGAGGACATGATCAACACTCACTTGCAGCTTCCTCCAGAATGTTACCAAGCAGCTCCAAATATTCATATTGCTCAAGCAGGGACATATTTAACCGGTGTTTTGTCTCTGTGAGTGCCTTGAGAGGAGATTGCGCCTGCTCAAGAGGTCCCCTTGGATGGGATTGCACACAACTGGTGCATTCTTCCTTTGTTTCTTCCGTGGTCATGGTATGTGATTGCTTCAAGGATCTTCTGGCCCTCACTCCCCTTCTGGTACAAGCAGTGTTTACAGATGTGCTGATACCTATGTCCCTACACCCCAATCCCTCAGTTGATAAGGTCTGAGTCTGAGAATCACAATCTCTGGGTCTAGTATCTTTTGTTAATATGCTATGGATGTCGATGCTTGTTTTTCGAACAGTTAATTGTGGCCCTCCGATGCTAATACTTTCACAATCTTCCTCTTCCCTGGTTTGGGTACACGATTCTGGATTTTCCAGTTGCTAAATCCTGATCCTCCAATACTATGCTTCTTCTGAGAAAATACTCTTTTCTCATGTTCCGTTATCTCTTTAGCAATCGAAATTTCCCCGCGAAGGAAGCGTTTGCACGATTTGCACACTTTTCCTCGTATGATGTCGTATGTGTCCCTCGCAATGTCTCTCATGGTCATCGTCCTTTTCAAAGGAACAAAAATCCTCTGCACCATCTTCATCACATCCATCCAATAATGTCCGGCTTCTTTCAGATGACTTACCTTCAGGACGTCTACAAAGATCTACCTGGGTTCTCGTGGAAATATATTCATTATGGAGGTGAGCATTCTCTATTGTCAAACCAGGTTCATTGTGAGCTTCACAGCATTTCTCACAAAAACAAAACAGCTGATCAGAAGTCGACAATCCTGTAAACACAACATTAGATTTTGAAATACGAACTGGTGCCCCACTCGCATGAGATGGACGTTAAATTAGAGGAATCTCACACACGCTTAAATCGGCCAACTTGACAGCTGCCTCGTTGATATCGTCAGATGAACCGGGACCAGATTCTGCACTAGATGATGGCTGAATTTGTGATCCCCAGTCTCCACTTCTCACCAAGTTCCTGTCAATGATAGCCTCCGACACCATGGTGAAGTCAGAGGAAGGATTTTTTAACGGTGTCATATTGGAAGTCAATTTTTTCGTCTCTGCTGTACTGCTGTACAGTCTGCCAGCTGATCTATCAACATAAGCTGCACCGGAACTAGACGCCGTAGTAGCCGTTGAAGATTGGATCTCTAAATCAGAAATTCCAATGATGGTTAGGTTTTCACTCTCGAGTCCCTCAGTGAACGTGTTCACGCGAACAGAAGAGTCGAGACGGCGAGAAGGTTCAATATCCTCAATCAGAAATCCAAGGCTCATCACGTTGTCAGGTTCCAAGCTTTCATTTCTACAGCCAACAATGGAGGTTGGACTTAGAACCTCACATTGAGAGGTGTGATCTTCATCAGATGTATCCTCGTCGACGGAAAGTGATACTTGACTTTCCATGTGATGATATTGAGGTCTCTTAATCTTGCTGAACATGACGTAAAGGACTGTGGCAGAGAAGGCGACGGCAGTGAAGGTTGCGAGATTTTTTGTCAAGGTCCCAGGGTCAAAGGTAATTGCTGCTCTTAACATCCATTTCATCTCTTGTTCACCAGGTAACTCGTCATTTGAAACTGATGCTTGAAATGGATTCAAACTTCTCATAAGTCACCCCGACCTGGGGAAGGATAATCTGAATTACACGGAAGTGTTCTTTCGAAAGTTCTACAAAGATAATATACTTAGTCCTTGTACCTCTTTCATGCTATGAATCGATCTGTAGTTTAGGCTAACAGATCGTGCAAGTTATATATTGCACGTAAGTAATGCAATGCAATGCATGTGGACAGAAGATAATAACCTCAAATTAAATGCTGGATACAGCGTTAATACTTAATATATGGCCATGTATGTTAGAAATTGCAGAGGTCACGGCTAATTCCTCATGAAACCAACTGCAAAGCTTGACCCGAAAATTCAAAAACATTAAAACCTTCACACCAAAATAAAAATAAAAGTAATCCATTTCCAACCCTCAAATTTCAAATCACTTGCTAAACTGGACAAACACGCAATTTACCTGGAAAATCGAAGCAGGAGAATGTAGTAATCGATAGTATTCTCCGCATCTCGAAAAATTCGAGACTGAAACCCACCCAATTCAGCCCCGAATAAACTACACACCGCGAACCTTCTTCAAATTAAACAACAAATACCCTAAATTTTCAACCAAGAACCATCACGCTGCTCCAAAAACCGGCGATCCGATCCGGCACCTGCTTCAGAAGTTTTTCTGCCGTCCGGTGATAATACTTTAATGGCAGTCGATTGTCCACATCCACCTTCTTCGTCCTCTGCGCAATGTTCAGAGTGCCATCCATTGTGACCGCTCCCGCCCTCACACAAGACGCAACATACAGCAACCCCAGAGAAAACCCAACATGCCAAAGCACTGTAGCGTCACCCGCTTCTACTTCGACACACAAATTGAGCCTGCGTATCACTCCTACGATCGCAGCATCGCCATAACCAGGCGCACAATCACCAAACAGGGGCCTGCGAAACCCTAACACTCTTCCCCGGCAATGATCCCGACTGGATGAGTTCCTGGCCCAGCCACCAGGTTCGAGCCTTAGGCTCGAACCTGGTGGCTGGGAGTCAGTTCCGTTGGTGTGAACCTGAGGCTCGGATCGAGCCTGCAGGTTCGTTAGAAAGTAAATATATGGTGTTATTCACAGGAAGCAGTGCGGCTTTTCTCGCCGAGTCAAGCTCTTTTTGTGGATTCTCAATTCCATTTTCTGATTGAATGTATCATTGACCGGAGAATATGAATGATTTCAAATTGAACCCATCAAAGAAAATCGAGGGAAACCTCCCACTCTGTTTCATATTGAGTCTAAAGGACCTCTCGCACTAGGTTTGATAGACACGCGCAGATGTTTCTGATCAACGAAAACATGCACAGCAGTAGGATTGATGCTTAGGATCGGTGGATTTGGAGATGGGTTTGTGGAAGCGGAGACACAGATTGGGTACTGAGTGGGTACTTGCTTGATTCGGTTTCATGCTTGAGATTCGGTGTTTCTTTTTTATGATTTGTATTCACTGAGATGGTTAACTAGTTTCTCCTATGAATTTCTGGGTCTCATAGTGCTCACTCCTAATGTGAAGATGCAATATCATGTGGTGACTAGTGTATCAAGAATGTGCCAGATGGACACGGATTCTCAATGTCAAGAAGGAATCGAAGTAAGGATGAGTCGACTGACTGCAGGTCTACTGTCTTAAGTCCAACATTCAATTTACTTTGCAGCAAAATGATAATATTTTCAACCAACATCACTTGTCTAAGAGTCTCTCGAATGGGTACATGAATCATTTTATTCTTTTATTCTTTTCTTTATTAAAAGCCACAACAATTGCAGTCAACAAATAAAACAAATAATACACTCATTATTAGAGATATGGAAGGGCACATGGAATGGCCCACAAATATTGGTGTGATGGTGTAATTAAGTATTTTGGGTTAAAACTTGAAAGGCAAAAACTTTACAAAATTAATATATAATTGTAGCACACTTTATGAATAAAACAAATTGAAAAGTAAATATAAGGCTATCCTATTTGGTTGATTGGTAAGCCTTATTTCAAGAAGAAACTAAGAAAGAATAGAGCTTCTTTTACTAAGTTAATAAGCCTGGACTTAAAATTGAATTCTACTCAAGATTACTAGTGCTGGAGAACCAGAATGTTTTATTCAAGAATAACCACATTACTACTAAAACATTTTCTGTGATGTTACAAAAATTATGACTGAAGCATTTTTTAGAGACAACACAAGTTTTTCATTTTAATAACAAGAATGACATCAAAATATCACGTTGAAATAATGAGTTTATATACCCATAATACTGTAGCATTTACTTTTTTAACATTTACAATACATTCCAATACTAAAGCTAGTAACATCGTATTTCCTCAGTTTAGATTTGAGTGTTTTTTTTAAAATACTGCTTGAAAGTATTATTTTTTGTAAAACAATAAAGGGATCAAGATAATTAACCAACCAGTCTGTACCCCAACGTAAACAAGAAGCAGATTGTCTTCTATTACAATATTCAAATTTATAAGTCACCTACATGAACACTTTTAAAGTCTTATTTTACATAACATACAAATAACTTCAAATTAAGATAAAAAAATTATCACCATATAAATATTATTTATTTATTGAAAGTAACTCTGAAACATCTATACACAATCTAATATACAACCTTCACAAAAGTTAAAAACAATACAGACGCAGACGTACTACATTGAAAGTTCAATAACAGTTGAGAAGTCTTCAATTTTTTTCCAAATTATACTGAGATATTCTTCAAAATATTAAATTCATACAATTTGTAAAATCCTAATAAATAAATAAATAAAAACTCATACATACATTAAATTAGAATTCAAAACTAGAATAATACACCCATTGATTGATTGGTATTTAAGTAATTTAGTCTTTGTAATTTTTGTAATTTTGTAATTTTTTAAATCAATTAAATTTAAGTCAATTAATTAAAAGCATGCAGACACACACATTCATATATATGCATATATATATATATATATATATATATATATTATTACTCTACTAAACCAGGATTTATACCAATGTCTTTAAATTAATAATTGTTCTTAAAAACATTTAAAAAGATAAAAATAAGAAGAGGGGCCCTAGTTTTCAAATGCATTTATGTGAAGTAATATTTATGAATTATTATACCACAAGTGAAAATAACATACAAAATTAATAACAAGGTTTGCTACATCACCAAATAAATTGTGAATTGAATATTACTATGGAAATTAAACATCATTTACAAGAGTATTTTTTTAATTTCATATACATACATATATATATATATATATATATATGTATAAGTGAATATAGTGCCAATTGTTTTTGCAAAATACACTTAGATAGTTAGATAGTATAAAAAGAAATCTTTGAAGAAACAATTGTTTATAGAAGTACATATCATACATGAACAAGAAAAATTGGTGACCATGCTTAGGACAAAGAAGAAAAAATACTATTAGATTAGCAATAAGAAAGAGTAACTAAGAAACTTCTGTCTAAGATAACGATTTTCTATCTATCCATGCTTGACCTATTCCACAAAACTCAAACAATTTTTGTCATCTTTTTGCTAATCTAAATACAACAATTATTAGTTTATCAAAAACCTTTTTTTAAAGTGGCTCCAAGACTACCAAAATATTATAGCAGTTTAAGATATTGTATTTAAGTATATATATAGTAGAATAAATAAATAAACATATATATATATATATATATATATAACAAGCTTAATATACATATATATTATTTAAGATTTATAAAAACCATGTTTTATTAATTTTACTTTACATAGTTGTATTTTAATTATTTTATGATTCCTTGCTGTTAATTTTAATTAAGTCATTATTTGGAATCCTAAAATAAATAAAAGTGTAAACTATATATTTTTATAGTTTTTTTATAATATTTTATATACCTTAAATATCACTTTAAAGTTGTTGTTGTTGTATGTGTTTTTTAACTTGATACTATGACATTCTTTAAATAATGATGATTTATAATAAGAATACAACACTATAAAAATGATATCATTATATGAATTCCTTGCAAAACAAAAGGCATACAAACATTTAGCCTAGAAGTTGATACAAATAAAGATGAAATGGATACATGTTTTGTTTGTCTATATCAAAAACATTTAAACAATGCTCTCTTTAAAATATAAGTATTTAAACTTATTTACTTTTATGTAACTTTGAAGATTTTTTAAGAGATAACAATCATTATTTGTGTTATTCTTTACAATTAGCACATTTTTTTATAATTATCAAAAAATACATAAGTAAATATTTTATTTATTAGTTTAATTGAACTTAAAAATTAAAAATTGTATATATGTGAAATAGATTTTTTTTTTCTGTTTGAAATAAAAAGAGATTGTCCCGAAATCAAAAATGATTGTATATATATATATATATATATATATATATCACCAAACATAAAAACAAATGAAATTATAAAAATTAAATATTAAAAGTAAAAATATAAAAAATTTATTTCAAAAGAAACATTTGTTTTCGTAATACTAACTTGAAAGTAGCTAGAAAGGACTGTATTCTTGCAAAAGAAATTGATAAGAACAACAAATCTTTTCAAAATTCATAAGTTTTTAAAATTTTGAATCAAAAAATTTAGACCAAGTCAAACAAATAATGTGGTGTTTGATCCTTTTGGATGATGAAAGAATTCTATGCACTGGAGCCTTATATTAAATGAGTGGAAATGATGTTTTATGTAATAATTTCATGAACAATATGGAAATTCTTAAATCCTCAAAACCTGTAGAAAGCCCATAGTGTTCTGAGTTGGGCTTACAATGCAATAGGTGCTCATTGTGGAAGGACATTAATGTGATTACAGAAGGACAAACATGATGGGTCGAAATGCAATGCAGTGTAGCAGATTTATGCAACAAACGAAGATGCAGATTTATGATGCCCCTCCTCCCTAACCCTAACCGAAGGAGACTTGGCAACGCAAACAGCAATGGAATCAATACCACATCATCGAAGGCGTGAATGCTGGTGGAAGCACACATCCGAAGGAGGGAGGGGGATTAACAGCACAGCAATGAGAGAGTGAGTGAGGAAAGTCGAGGTGACGACTTTGTTGGGTTGAGTGGAAATGCATCAATGCCATCATCTATAATCGGTCTAGCTGCGTCTCCTCATCTGGTCTTGCGGCCTTGACAGCTTACAATATGCCCCTCGTCCCTACCCCTACCCCTAACCCTCCCTCCCTCTCTAGCCCTAACTCTGCTCTTCCCTGCACTGCCGTGCCGTCCTCCTCCCCCTCCGCTCATTTCCTCCTTCTTTATTGCTCTCGTGACTCTCGCCACCCCTTCGCTTTCCCGATGCCTGTAATCTTACGAACGCATCACTGCCATCTCCACCCAAACGTCATTTGCACTGCAACTTGCCCCTTCCCTCGCCTCTCGTTTCCCTGCCTGCCTGCGTCCCAGGTATGTATGCTCTTCTCACCTATCTTCTCTTCTCTTGCTCTTTCGATCTCTGTTTCTGCACAGTGCTCCCTCCTCTCTCTGCGGTGAACCGGGCCTCACAGTTCCCATCCGAACCTGCTCTCTCACATTCCTCGTCTGTTAACTCCTCAACACTCCTCCACTTGCCTGATTTCATGGCGTTCTGGGGATCTCTTGGCAGCCCCGGGTTCGTGTGCCGTATGCTTCCCAACTTTGATTGTTTCCAATTCTTAGGTCCAACGTTGCAAATGCATATTCTTATGTCGAGTTGAAACTTAAGTGACCGTAGGCTGATACGTTTTGACATCAGCACTTCGTTTCTAGTTAGGAGGGTCTACATGCAATTTCGTTTTATTGTTTGCGAGTGCGCTTTTTTATCAGGAACGAGGGTCTATCGATCTGTACCGTGTCACTTTCGTTGCTGTGGGTAGCTATATGTTTGTCAACTACATACCTAGCTAGCCTTAAAGCAGTCACAGATCATTTCAGGTTATCCCTGCATCATGCTATTTGGAAACGCAAACATGGATTCTTTCTGCCGACGGTCTACTTTCTGGTTTGAAGCAATTTTAGGTTGTCTGAGTCAATGAAGTTCTGAGCTGGTGATATTGAATCTGAATCTTTTGAGGTAGGAGCTCAATTCAGCAAGAACTGCTTATCGTGCTTGATATCCAGTTCAACTAGTGCACCCCCCCCCTCCCCTCCCCGTATAGATCGAAACAATTATGTAGTTTGCCTGGGATTGGACGAGAAAATTAACTTAGTTGACCGTTAAACCATTTACACCTTGAAATTTCAAGCCTTGATGGCTTCATAATTCATTGGGTTGAAAAACTGGTGCCTGAAAGAAACAATTAATGTATTGATTCCCGTTTCACATGGGTAGTTCCATGATCAGCATCTCGTCCGTAATGAAGATGTCACCGAGTGGTCGGAATCTGTGCTCGGAAATTTCACGGATGGTTGGCTTCCAAAATTTGTTACGTCTTTCAACCAGAGTGTTGTACTGGTAACTTCATTCACGTTCTTAGTTTCTCATCGATGACGTTTACTTGCGCAATTGTCTTTTTTGAAAGATCATAACAATTTGTCACTATCACGGCGTCCGGTTTTACGGAAGTTCCAGGAGTACGCAAGTGGAACTGATGTGGGTGCGAATTTTTTATTCGGGAGCTTGTTTATGAGCAGATTTCCTCCTCCACTAGTGCATGTGCGGTATCCTTTAAGCTTATCGTTCACACCAGCGTCGACTGCTCCGTCTGTGGACACACTTTCTTATGAGGTGAATGTTGTGGGCAGTCGCATGTTTCAAATGCTTGTGCAGATGTATGAGATCATAGTAAAATGTGCCGAAGGTACTTGTACAAAACGCAGGATCTGCATCTGATTTGGAATGGGTACGCCAATTCATTAGGTGGACATGATGGACGTTATCGTAGTGAATTATAGGTTCTCTTCTTTGAGCACCTGGGTATTGCTAGAAAGATACATGTGTTGTGTAGGATAGAAGATGATATGCTTGCTCTAGCAATGTAGAGAGGAGAGTGTAGAATAGTCAAGAAAGTAAATGTAATGTACAATTGTGAGTGTAGAATAGTCAAGAAAGTAAATCTAATGTACTTTTGTGAATGTATGTGAACATGAACAGGTTGAATATTGGAAAATTTGTGAGCAATTGAGTATGGCATATGTTTTGGAGTTGATCAAGAAATATATTGAGGTATACACCACCATGTATATGGAAGGAAAGATATCTAACTAGTATGAAACAATCTAATGATTGTTTCTAAGATATTGACACTATATCAAACATAGAAGGTATCTATGGGAATGTTTGGAGAGAATATCAAGCCTATATTGTAGCATTGAAGGTTTTGTTGAAGAAAGAAGACATATTGAACAAAAACCAAGGTTGACATCATTGCTAAATGAGTTGGGCGACTTCATATCTTTGACTACCTTAATTATAAATAAGTGCTCAAGCTTGACATCATTACCAAATGAATTGGGCATGCTCACATCTTTAACTACCTTAAATATGAAGAGTTGTGGAAGCTTAACATCATTGCCAAATGAATTGGGCAATCTTACATCTTTGACTACCTTAAATATAAGGGGGTGCTCAAGCTTGACAACACTACCAAATGAATTAGGCAACCTCACATCTTTGACTATCTTAGATATATATGGGTGTTCAAGCTTGACATCATTGCCAAATGAATTGGGCAACCTCACATCTTTGACTACGTTAAATATGGAATGGTGTTCAAACTTGACATTATTACCAAATGAATTGGGCATGCTCACATCTTTAACTACCTTGAATATGAAGTGTTGTAAAAGCTTGATATTATTGCCAAATGAATTGGGCAACCTTACATCTTTGACTACATTAAATATAAGGGAGTGCTCAAGCTTGATAACACTACCAAATGAATTGGGCAACCTCACATCTTTGACTATGTTAGATATATATGGGTGTTCAAGCTTGACATCATTGCCAAATGAATTGGGCAACCTCACATCTTTGACTACCTTAAATATAAGGGAGTGTTCAAAGCTTGACACACTACCAAAATGAATAGGCAATGTCACATCTTTGACTACCTTACATATAGGGTGGTGCAATAAGTTGACATCATTGCCAAATGAATTGGGCAACCTCAAATCTTTGACTACCTTAAATTTTCAATGGTGCTCAAGTTTGACATCATTGCCAAATGAATCGGGCAACCTCATATCTTTGACTACCTTAAGAATGAATGAATGCTCAAGCTTGACATCATTGCCAAATGAATTGAACAACCTCACATCTTTGACAA